TCAGCAGATGAGACTCCTTACCGTGGTGCATCATCATCACTCCAACCTCCTCCAAGTCTGACCAACACCAGAGTCAAGGAAGACTTACCTGGAAATGGTGAAACAATCACAGAGTCATAGAATTGTTTAGATTGGAAAATATCTCTAAAAGGCCATTGACCCTAACCATTAACCCAGCACTGCCAAGCCCACCACCTAACTGTGYCCCCAAGTCCCACATTTTCCCTTTTTTTTAAATACCTCCAGGGGTGACCACCACTTCCCTGAGCAGCCTGTTCCAATGCTGAATAAAACTTTCCATTACGATTTTTTTTCTAATATCAAATTAAATATTTTCTGGCACAACTTGAAGMCATTTTCTCCTGTCCTATAGCTTTATTATTTGGGAGAAAAGACCAACCCACACCTCTCTACAACCTCCTCTCAAGTAGTTGTAGACAGTGATAAGATTTCCATCAAGCCTCCTTTTTTCCAGGCTAAATACCCCCAGCTCTCTCAGCCACTCCTCACAGGACTTGTGGTCTGAACCTTTCACCAGCTTWGTTCTCTTCTTTGGACACCCTCTGGTGCCTCAATGCCTTTCTTGCAGTGAGGGGCCCAAAACTGGGCACAGTACTCAAGGTGTGGCGTTTGTGTCACCAACAAAAGCCTCAGTGCTGGCTCAGGAGAATTACAGCTGTGGGGGTGTTCTGGAACATCTGCAAATGTTGTGTTTTCTGTCTTCTCAAGGAAAGCTGTGCCTACTTGGTTACAACAACTTTCACAAAGTAAAACTGAAAGCCCAGGCAATCCTGCAGCCTGCACTAAGCTTTCACCAGTGTAGCTGGACCCAGGGATGGGGAGAGCAGCAGAAAAAGTAAATTACCCTACTGGAACTCATTCTGAACTTGCCACATGCTTAAATGCATCTTTTTTGTGTGGGTATTTTCACAAGCACTGAGGTTGCAGACACAGCATTTTTCATCATATTTCCCCTACTTTGGATTAGATGACATGCACTGTCTTTATGGCTGAATAAAAGGTCATGACTGGCCAGCTGGTAATGCAAAATGCATTTTTACACTAATGGCAAGGTACTCTAGCTTTTGTTTCATATTGCACTGACTGCATGTATTTATATAAACCCTACAACTGTTTAGTTAAGTCAGAGGGTGATGATCTTTGTCTTCACAAAAGAACTGATTTAATTTTATTGAACAAASCTTTCCATTTAAAAGATCAAAGACAGTGCAGCCCCCTGCAGCAACAACTTAAAAGTTTCTTCAACTATTCAAATTAATAAAATAGGGTAACTGGGACTGAAAAAGCAGGGAAAAGACAAAAGGAAAATAAAAATAAAATTCCTTGGGGGCTTGGTTTATCCTGAACTTGGAAAGAGACATTTTTTCTTTTCCGCAAAGTCCCATTGAGTGTCCTCATTCTTCTGCCTCTGAAAAGGCAGGAATTGATAACAGAGGTGGCATGCACAGCTTTAGACAAATTTCTASAAGCTGGTAATGGTATGGGGGAAAGACACAAAATATAGCGCAATGAAGAAAAACTGGTGAAGAGCTGGCATCTCTAGCTGCCATGTGCTAGTTCCAGGCACCCAGCACATTGAACTCCTACTTGCTAAAATATCAGTTCTTATATAAAATTGCTTGGTAATACTATAGAAAATAATGGTAAAAATTATTTGAATGGTACAAATCGTCTGAAACTAGAACTGTTTTGGAGATAGATAATTCATGTCACCTCCTAGCATCTGACTTTGGGGAAATTGTCTTGCAAACTTATTTTTGGGAGGGGAATGTCTAAACATCTGCCTTACATTTCACTGCTGAAACTTTGTGTTTGCTTGCAGGTTTGCATCCTCACCTCCCAGACTGACAGCAGCACTCATTATTTCATACTGGGTGAGCCACATGCCTACCCCTCATGTTATGACAGGATGGGGTCAAGCATGCACCAAAATCCCCTCTTTCCTGCTGTCCTGAGGTTGTATCTGGCAGGCATCCTGGAAACCATCCATGGACCAAAAGGAGTTGCAGCATATTCTAACAACTCAGCCTTCAATTAGCACACTGATGAAACTGGCCCCAAAGTCTGTTTTGTGTCCAGGGAAACATTTCCAAGAGATCCTTGCTTCCTCTACATTACATCCACATAATGCATCCACATCAGTGCTTCAGCCTGGATCAGGAGAGCGCTGTGGCAGGATTCCCCCTGACCAGCCRTCCCTGCCACGCTTTGCTTCATGTGCTGGAGCAATCCTGGCATCTGTCAGCTGCACTCCATCCAGACAGAGCTAAACAAAAAGATCTGGTGTAGGAGAACACTCACTGCATCCCAGTTGCTGACATGAGGCAGTCAATGTGACCAGAGCAGAGCTGGTCTAAAATGAATCTCTGAAATACACGGAGGGCACTGGGTCCTCRGTGCCAGCTCCTCTGTGCTGCAAATTGTCCCTACTTGTTCCAGGCCACCTGCTAATGTAGACACAACCCAAAGAGGCTGCACTGCTGCCTTCTAACCCTCTCACTGCTTAAATGGGTGAATAGTGYCATTTTAGGCACCATATGGTATCCCTGCAGGCCTCCAGCTGCCACTCTGCAGATCAACAGCTCAACCAAATGTCTCGTGTCATATCTGGCAGCCCCACGCAGACATCTCAGATACCTTAGGGAGGCTAACTGCTGTGGGTGTCTATGTTTAGACAACTGAATACCATTTTATTTTAGCATCTATTGCCCTCTAGACCAAAAATTGGAAACAAAGGAGATTAAAAATGAGAAAGGAGATGCCTGAAATACTATGGTGAGCTCTATGAAATAAAATCTAACACTATAAAATAAATAAAATAATAAAAATAGCATTTATTGTAAAATTCTCTTAAAGTCTTTTTAAAATAAACTAAAAAGCATACAAAGCTTAATCTGACAACAGCAAAAGTATTGTTTTGTCCTTCAAGAAAGAGCCGAATTTTACAAATAGTATTTATTGTACAGTACAGGCTGAATTCACTGGCTTTAACAGAATAATTGCAAAGCTTGAGGTTGAGTTTCTGTTTGTGTAATTTACTGGCTTCATGCCCCAGATGATGGGGACTGTAGCATCAGAGTGTTTGCGGAGCAATGTCCTACAGCTGGTAAACCAATAAATTATCAACATTTTATTTTGCTGGGATAGTAATAAATAATTCTGAATGACTGACAGAGAGCAGCCCTTGTCTGTTCTAGCAAAGTCCTGGTGTCCAGCATGGGCTGGCTGCAGGTGAGCAGAGATGCTCCTTGGGCTGGCCACACTCAGGACTGCTGGCAGAGGCTGGTGGCCACGGGCCAGTGCTTGCCATGGCTTAACCTCCCAGTCTTACACAGCGAGCACACTCCAAAGCTGCAAAAAAAATAGTTTTGCCTACCAAGAAACAGCCTAAGTTTCTGAATCTGCATGGAAATAACTAGAGATTGCAGGACTTTCAAACACTTAAACAAAAATCCTGACCACTTGTGGCCTTCAAACAGTCAAGCAAAAGTTTCTGTCACAGTTTCTAACCCAGAGCATGCTCTTGCTGGGATGGCCATTTGTGAATTCCTCTGACTGTGTACCTGAAGCCATTGACAAACCTCACATTTGAACATCTCTGGGGGTCCAGAGGAGGCCACAAATGTGGTCAGAGGGCTGGAGCACCTCTCCTACAAACACAGGCTGAGGGAGCTGGGGATGTTCAGCCTGGAGAATTGAATGTTTTGGGGACACCTCAAAACAGCCTTCCAATACCTAAAAAGGTCTTATAAAGAAGAGGGAGAGTGACTTTTCACAAGGGCAGGTAGTGACAGAACAAGGGGAAATAGTTTTAAACTAAAAGAAGGGAGATTTTAATTAGATATTAGGAAGAAATTCTTTGTTGTGAGGGGTTGAGACCCTGAAACAGGTTGCCCAGAAAAGCTGGTACAGGTACTTCCTGTACCTGGAAGTGTTCAAGACCAGATTGAAATAGAGAAACCTGGGTGGTATCCCAGCCCACACATTTTGGTATCCAAAGCAGGGGTTTTGGAATTAGGTGATCCTTAAGGTCCCTTCTAACTTATTTTATGATTCTGKGATATGTTCTAAAAGTAAATGAAGTGCAGTCTTTCTAGACACTATGGACAAAAATCTGGCAGAAATGCCACAGAAATGGGAAGTATGGGAATGATTCTGCACATTAACATCCTGCATGTGGCACAAAACTCCTGGCAGAGCTTTAATTCTATCAAAGACATAAGAAAGGGAATGTTGGATTGGTCTACCTTGCTTTGTTGCTCTTCTAGTGTGCATGAGTAGCTTTGGGTTATAGAAAAACTTGGACGATGAATGTATTCTGCATATGTGTAATTAGTAGCCTGATATCAATTTTTGCAGATAGATATTAGCAGCATTTTAAATATGAACCTACAACTCAGCATCAAAACYCAGAAAGTCTGGCTTCATCTGCAAGTTTGAATAAGGAGAAAAGGCATTTAGGGGAGGTTCCCAGGCTGAGTGATCTTTTACCTGGACAAGCTAAGGCTACACAACATTTAGGGCATGCACATATTTGCACCCTGATCATGAAGATGCAGTGGTGTCTTCAATACGAGAATTTCCTCTCTCCAGGACTGAATACCTGAATGCTTTATAATTTCTAAAATAATTGGAGCAACTACAAGTATGTCTTTTCAGTCTGCATGTATGCCAAATCCAAAGGCTGCTGAAATACAAACAATATACCAAACAAAACAGCAYATATTTCTAGAATTTATAAATTTATAGAATGTATAAATTATATCATCTATTAATAACATATACTCAAAAACATTAAACAGTGCATGAATAAAATGTATTTTTGGAAGTTTTTCTTTCTATCACCTTGCATATACAGGCTGGATATAGGAACTATAGTACTGAGTACATTTTTATTTAGAGGATAGATTCATTGATAATTGCACTTGCTTAAAACAGGAAAGTAAGTAAAAGTGTTTTAAATCAAATTTACATGTCAGTTATTTTTTTTTTGTGGAACTGACACTTCATTTGTGATCTCACAAAAGCTTATCCACATGTTTGGCTTTTCGCTTAGGAGTAACAACAGTGAAACTAATGCACATAAAAAATTAGCCTTTGCAGACCTAAGTATTGATGTAGCCTGCTTTCACATTCAACCTGTGCAAGCACAAGACAGAAAAGATGRAGTGAAAAGGTGCAATCATTCCCATTGCTCAGAATCTCTGTGGTTTTTCATTTTGCATTCTCTCAAAAGAACATTAGTTCACATTAACAAATATTAATAGGATAAAGTTTTGTAAAAAATAATTTAACAATCATTCATGAAGTTTTTCATTTTGGGTTCTTCTGAGGTCTCTGTTTCTCATTTGCTGACACTGATTTCCCTCTGAAAAGAATTGATATTTCAGTAGCATATATAAACAGGCTTGGACTTCATTAGAGCCCTTGGTGTTTGCTGGCACTCATTTACAACACGCTTTTCCCCAGGATGCCGATCACAGCAGCAGCTGCTCATCCTCACTTCTGAAAAAACAAGGCTGGGCCATGGATTTTCTGTACCTAAATGTTATGATAATTTTATTGTTTTAGTGCTGATGATATTTCAGTCTCTTCTTGGGCATCTAATGATCCTGAAGCAGTCCAGAGAATTTTGGTATTCAATGGATTCGGGAATAGGTTCTCCTGGTGATGAAGATGCAACATGACAGAGTCACAAAATGTCCTGGTGTCAGRGAGCACTCTGAGGTACTTCATACATGACTGTAGCATGTTTGTTTCTTTACCAAGAATGCTGAATGATGTGAAAAGCACTTTGCCTTATACAGAATAGTACAGTAGCAACCACAAAAAAGATCACCTGTACAGATTACTGCTGACAGAATAGAACAGTATTCAGTATTTCTGTGAGACAAAGCACATCACTGTTCATTTTCAGGTACCAAAACCAGTGGGGCAGTAAAAAGTGTCTTTTAAGTGCTAGTAAACGAAAGTTGCTTTCACAAAGCACAGTGTTTCTTAATTAGTTGTAGCACTGTGTTGAGAACCTCTTCCTTGGAGGGGCTGGCATCAACTTCTTGGCATGCAGGATTCACCATCCTTCTGTATGACTCTTCAACTCTATTTAAAAACAAAACAAGAGAAATTAAACTTTAAAATGCAGGGATATGAAATTGCATTAGTCATCAGTCTCAGAAGACAGCGCTTGCACTGCAGAGACAGGGGATACAAAATCTAATATGAAACTCAGAATGAAATTTACTGCAAAGAGCAATAAATCATTAGTAACWATTACAATGTAAATCTCAAAGTACATTGTTTCCTTGACATTGATTCCCAGAGCTCCAGCCATATTAACATGGCATAGTGTAAAGTATTTCTTTCTTTATAGCTTATCACAGGATACAGTCTGATATGGCAGTAGAGTGGASAGTCTGCTTCTAGCACCTGAATTAATTATTTTCAGTTTCTGCTAAGGTATCTATACAATATGGCATTGCATCAGAAAGGTGTGCTCATTGACTGATCTCAGCTCTGACTCACTGGATTACAGAGCTGTCCTATCACATTCCTCTGGCCATCCAACCAGAAGAATTACAGGATGAAATGCAGGATGAAAACCTCCTCACTTAGGCTATACGCTTAATGCAGAACTCTCCCACATTTAGGGATGTCATGTGGGACACTGTCAAACACTTCAGAAGTTCAGTTAGACTAAATCAGTTGCTCTGCCCCATCCACCAGTGTTGAATTTGTCAGGCATAATCTTCCCTTTGTAAAGCCAYGTTGGCKGTTGCCAGTGACTATTTTTAAKGTAAATCATCACCAGAAACTTAAAACCCTGGAAGTAGATTTCAGCCCTGCTTGTAGAGATAGAAACCAATATTCAGGTGCCTCTGCTGAGGTATCTACACAGACAGTGGGTGTTTAAGTTTCCACCTTAGACAATCTAATCAATACATTTGGTAGAGCCTAGGCAGCAATTCAGCACATCCTGAAGTAGGATACCTAGGGTGCCATTCAACTGCTTGAGTTAATGTACCTTGTCCTGCTTGAGATGTTCTGGATATCTCATTTAGCTTCCAGTTGCCAGCCCAGAAAGTGGCCACAGGTTCTGCATTGCATCTGCCCAGCTCATATTGAATTACTTTAGATACTCAAGCTTAGGTCACTCTGATGAAGCATTTTGAAGGCTCCATTGAATGTACTGGTACCTGAGACAGCACARCTAAAGACATCTGCAAGAGGAGCTCTAAATTGTCTTCTCTTCATCTGGAGCTCAATTCCAGAATTTCCTGGGGAAGCTATGTGTTTCACCTCTTGCCTCCCAATACTGGAAATTATATGCCCATCTCCCTCTGGACCTCACTAAGAAAGGTGCTAAAATAAAAGGAGCAAAGCAAGATAGAAGTATTTTAACTCAAAGCTCCTTTGCAGGACAATTAAATGCTATACCTGCATCTTTCAAGCACTTTCAATCCAAAGTGACAGACTTTGCCCTCCCTGTCAGCCATGAATCCTTTCCAATAAAAACCCAAACCAAGAGCATATGCATAGGAAATCTTTGTCGCAGTAATGTGAGTGGCACATTTGCTATTGATCCCACAGGAGCCAAGATTGTRTCCAGCCTCTTATTCCTCATTAAAGGGTACCTTTGGCGAAACAAGCTGTTAGCTTCCAATTCAGCTTCCTCCTTAGTTTTCTCCAGACCCCGATGCTGAAGTCTCCGGACTCGTTCATCAGGGTCAACAGTCAGGAGAAGAACAAGGTCAGGTTTAAGCAGATCCTCAGGCCACTGATACACCTCATCCTGAGCTGGTGGAAGATCCTGGACTTTCCCACTTGTTTCAGTGGCAATTGTGTAGGCAGCAGTGCTGTGCCAGTATCTGTCAGGAAAATAAAGAATGGAGGGAGAGAAATTTTAAAGAGGGCACAATTTTTTCAGTAATATAAAAGACAATTGTCATATAACAACAGGTCAATAATGATGAGATAGGTGACATCATAGTTTTGAAGGGAAATCCAAATAACAGTTCTGTGTTATCCATTATTTCTTAACAGCAATAATATTCAGTGCACTGTTCAGAGTTAAAAAGAATTATTAATTAAAACATTATGCAAAGATGGTTCCAGATACTCTTATCAAAAGAAAGTCTGCTCATACATTGAGAAAGGTCAAAGAAGAATTACACTATATCTCAAAATCTGATACTCTGAGTCCCCTTTATCATGGTTCCCATCTTACACCATGCAACAGATTTGGTAAGTAACATGGAGTCTTCACAAATGTGAATGAACACAGGGATTACTAACAGTTAGGCATTTCACTTGCATTTAACATTCTCCCCACTACAAGGCACTGTGTTTAATAGATTTCAGTGGATTTGAGGCTGGTTGAAAATAGCACACACATGTAAACAACTTGTGTGTGTGTGTGTGTGTGTGTGTGTGAATTGCAGTGGGAGGCTAAAATGCACCTACTGAAATAAGCCAGAGGGCTCAAAGTGTATCTAGACTTTTTTATTACCAATAATACTGCAAGCTCCTTGCACAGTGAAAAACCAGAAATAACACAAACCCAAAAAAAAGAAAGTGGGAAGCATATTTCTGGCTTTACATTCACAAAGAGTAAGCACATTTTTTGAGCATACATTTTGATATATGCGCTTTTTCTTGGTGAAGTAACAATGGTCTGTCCACCTGAGTCAAAATCAGYAAATTTTGGCCCAAGATTTAAATGGTAAATGGACACTGTCATGCTACACATCACACAGTGTGAGGTGAAACCAGATCCCCACGATCAGTTATGGATTGGGGTATGGCTGTGCACTGGCAGTGATGTGGCCCTGTACAGATGATGTGTATGCCCCTTCCATATCCTGGGTCACAGCCGTGATGGGATCTGCTATAAAGCCACATCTCCACTGCTTGATGCCACCGGGTGGCAGCCAGTGTGGAGCATCTGGGTGGCAGCACACAGAAACAGCATCCAGTCTTGTTCCCCACACAGGTTTGGTGGGTGARGTTATAGCCCTGCTGGTACAGTTGCTCGATTGGCATGTTTCCCTCAAAACACAGAGGTCAACCAAGCTTGCCCTGGCTAGATGGGTGGCATATCCCGCTCCAAAGGTGGGGAGTCCCAAGAATCATGGCAGTGCTACTCCCCAGAGCAATTGCCTGACTTTACCCAGCTTGTGGACTCTATCCCATGGGTCAAGGGTCCTGGCGGCTCATGTCATGCGTTTTTGACACTAGTGTAGTTACTGTGGACTGGGTGGTGAAGCCACTCGACAGAGCAAGAGTGTCCYATATGCTCATTCTGGGGCATTTGTCCTTGTGGGCATCCAGTGGGACCACATGGAGGTGTGAGCTCTGCAGCTGAGCCCAGTTAGCAACACACATCCCAATCCACCTATACCTCAGACACATCTTCGAGACAGCCATGACCAGCAGCCCACAAGTCTTTTCTGGTTTGTCACAAAATGCTGATTTAACTCAGGACGCACAGTCTGTGCCTCCACTGTTCCTAACTGAAGATGTAACAATTTTTATGTGTCCTAAAGCTAGTTGTGAGTATTACAGTGATTAAAGTTTCCTATTTTACAGTTACCATATTACTCTTTAGAAGATCTAATATTTGACTCTCTGCAAAGTAGTGCTTCCAAAAAAATCCCAAAGCAAAATCCCTGAATAAACAATGAGACAATCACTGACTACTTTTGCTTGTAACACTGAACAACGGTATGATGACACTGATATAAGAGGGCTTCTTAAATACACAAACCTGTCTATGACCACAGGTGCCTGAGTGGATGCTTTTGCTATCTCTGAAGCCAGAATRTAGTTGCCTGCAGCATAAAATGCCCTTTTAATGGGTGTTGGCTCATCATCAAATACGGTCCTCCACTGGCTGATGCAAGCTGGTGGGGACCGTAGCAGAACGCCGTTCAGGTTGTCCTTAACAGCCTGGGTCACCGTGGTTTTGCCTACATTTACAGAAGGAAACGTTTGTTATATAATGCACAGATACACCTGCATTTTAAAAACTGAAAAAATGCTCCTGTCTGTTCATGTGGAGCATGTTCTGATGTCTGAATGTGTAACTCAAGTATCCTGTGATAAGGGTTCCAGCAGAAATGATTCTGAGTCTGACTGCAGGAATTATGATTCCCCTTCCTTCTCTCTGGGCCTTCCAGCCCTTCCTTTCACYAGCTTTCAGTCTTCACTCCCTTAAATGCATTAAATCCATGGCACTTTCTATATATATTCATTTGTAATATTTTTCTAGGTCACAATTCATGTGAATGTTGCCATGCTGGTCATCCAATTCTTTCTTTTTAAGGGAATTTTCACTTCTCTTTTACTGACAAGTCAGAAAACAAAGCTATTCAGAGGCAACTGATATTTCTCTCTGAGATAAACTGCTGGCAGTTTCCCAGACTACTACTATTTTAGTTGTTTTATTTGAAAACTCTCAGTAAAAGTAAGTTTCATCATGTGCACTTGAAATTTAATTTTCAGTACTCCACTCTGTATTCTTTCATTTACACAGGTAACGAACTAAACCCCTGAATGTAGATTAGCATATGCTAATCTTTTACAAGAGAAGACAGATTGGCATTTATAAATTCTAATTCTTTATCTGTCACAGGTTTCCAAGCTATTTTTTTTTAATTTTTAAGCCTTATGCCTGAATAAAAACCGTAACAGTTGCTCTTTTCAACAATTTCTCATCTGTGGTTCTTCMATCATACATTGCTCTTACCTGTGGCATCCAGCCCCTCAAAAACTATGACAGGAAAACCTCCCTTTTTTTGRTGCTCTGGACATTTGTCCAGCAGGTCGAGTACTGCTCCAGCCTCTGGGATCCGTTCTGCACACTGCAAAGAGAGATCATAGAATCAATAGAATGGGTTCTGAGGCAAGAGGGACCTTTAAAGGCCATCTAGACCAACCCCCATGCAGTACACTGGGGCATCTTAAACCAGACCAGGTCTCTCAGAGCCCTGTCCAGCCTGACCCGGAATGTTTCAAGGGATGGGACATCCATCTCCTCTCTGAGCAGCCCGTGYCAGTATTTCACCACCCTCATCATAAAAAACTTCTTCATTACATCTGGTCGGAATCTGCCCTCCCTTGGCTGGAAACGATCAATCCCCGTCCCTTTGGCACCCTCCCGGCCCCGACGCTGCAGAGCCGAACGCCGGCCCCGCGGGCGCGGTGCTCACCTGGCGCAGGCGCTGGCGGAGGGCGCTGGCGGAGGGCGGCAGAGCGCGGACCACGGGCCGGGAGCACGGGGAGCCCGGGGCGCAGCGCCGCAGCATCGCCGGGCCCGGAGACGGGAGACGGGAGCGGGGAGCGAGAGGCGAGAGCCGGGAGCCGGGAGCCGGAGCCGGAGCCGGAGCCGGGAGACGGGAACGGGGAGACGGGAGCGGGGAGACGGGAGCCAGAGCCGGGAGCCGGGAGCAGGGAGACGAGAGCCGGGAGCGAGAGGCGAGAGCCGGGAACGGGGAGCCGGGAGCGGGGAGCCGGGAGCCGGGAGCCAGAGCCGGGAGACGGGAGCGGGGAGACGGGAGCGAGAGGCGAGAGCCGGGAGCCGGAGCCAGGAGAGGGAGCGGGAGCCAGGAGCCGGGGGCTGAGAGCGGGGAGACGGGAGACGGGATCAGAGAGCCGGGAGCCGGGAACCGGGGCCAGGGGCAGAGCGGATGGGGGCGGGCGGCGCCAGAGGAGGAGCCAGCGGGAAACGAAAGTGGCCCGGCCGGCAGGGAAAGCGCCGGTCTGCGGGAACAGCCCGGAGCGAGGGGCGGCTCCTCGAGATGCCCTTCTGCCTTGCCCGCCCTGGACAACCGGGATGAACGGGCTCGGTCCCTCGGGGAATGGCTCAGTGCGCCATGGGATGGGAGCCAGCAAGCACGGGATGGAAGGTCCTAACCTCGGGATCCGGTCTGTCCCCGCCAGCACCAAAGGGTCACATTCCCACGGGCT